CGAGTCTGTTAAGGCGGCTCCTAACATTTATTGCCGTCCGTTTTTTGCTCGCACCCACGTAGCGACGGGCCTGGGCTTTGAGTGCTCGCCCCGTTTATATGCAACCGGCACCGGCTCCACCTAACTTAAGTCATCTTGTCGTAAACCACAAGACATGCTGGAGTACAGCAACAGGGAGTTTTTCTTTGATCTATTTCGAAAACCCCCCAGGAGGCAGAAAATGGAAAAATTTGGCAGACCTTCACACCTCGTTTTATCAACGGCTTTACTAGATAGCGTTTCTACTCACCAAATCTTTTTTTCTCCTGCGCCATCGTAGGTGATGAGCGGACCGTTCAGTGTCGGAGAGGTGAAGTGTCTGCTCACCCAACTCCTCAGGGCTGTCCGGCACTTGCATAACAACTGGATCCTGCATCGCGATCTGAAGACCTCCAACCTCCTCCTAAGTCACAGTGGCATTTTGAGGGTAAGCTACCTAACTTGCTGGTGGTTGTGTTTTATTGTCAAACTTTCTCGTGGAACAGTAGTGTCCAGCCTCATCCCCCTCGGATAACACGTTTTCCTCTTGTTGTCTTCAGGTTGGTGACTTCGGTCTTGCGCGGGAGTACGGTTCTCCATTGAAACACTACACGGAGGTTGTAGTCACTCTGTGGTATCGTGCGCCGGAGCTTCTTTTAGGTGCGTTGCCCACCCTTCTCATCGATCAAAAACTGCTTATTTCTCTGCTCTATTTTGTGCCCTGCAACCTTCCCCCCTCTCTCTCTCTCTCTCGCTTCTTCCAGGCACGAAACAGTATTCCTGCCCAATCGATATGTGGTCAGTGGGATGCATATTTGCCGAGTTTCTGCTACAGCGTCCCCTGTTCCCTGGGAAGGGCGAAGTGGATGAGCTTAACATGATCTTCCGCGACTTGGGCACTCCGAACGAACGCATTTGGCCCGGTGTCACCCAGCTGCCGGGCATGAAACGTTGCGTATTCACAGAATACGCCTACAACCAGCTGCGTCGACGGTTTACAGAGAAGCAGATCTCAGACCACGGATTTGATCTTCTTAACAGGTGAGTCAGAAGTTGCCATTAACCGCGCCAACCGCTTCGCAGGTCTCTGCGAACCACAAAATCTTTTAAACTTCGCTGTTATTAAAATCTAAGTTACTGTATTTAAATTTATTTGGTGAAGGTAATAGTCAATGCCTTCACGTCATACAGGTGTACGTGCAGGCGAACAAGTATAACATTTAACAGAGTACTCACAAATTGTGAGTAGCATTGGTTTTTACAAATAACTCTTGTCTACAATTTGTGTGGTATTTGTTTGAGTTCAGGTCGTCGAAGGACAACAGGGGTCACAAGCGTTTCTTTAAGAGCTGTAGGAACGTCGTCTCCATGACTGATTGCGGGAGGTTATTCCATTGCTCTGTTGTTGAATGATCCAGAGCGGAGTTTAAGCTTAGCTATTTTCATGCGCACTTTCATTGAGTGTCCAGGAAACATGTCCCCTTAGCGCAGTCCTTGCTCCAGACCGTGTATTCTCTTGTAAACTAAGATAAAATTACCTATTTGCTGCCTGAATGAAAAGGATTTTCTTTAATGTTTGAATTGGAGGGTAGCCACTCACCCCAACACTCTGGCCACTACACTGGCCTAATACATCTCGGGCGCACAAAGTTCGCAGCACTTGGTGAAGGTAACGTAAAATTAGTGAATTCGTGGGTCAAATTGCCAAACAGAATGAGTCAGTTCGTGCTCCCACCCATTGTCATTCTAGGAAGGTAGTCCTTGTACTTGTTACGGCTGCGAACATGCCTGATTTAGCCGGCCTCGATTATGTCCACGAGTGACGATCTGTCGCAGCAGACCTGGGCAGTTTTATCCATTCTCATCCATCGCGAACGTCAGAAATCGAAGACGGAAGGTCCAAGAACAAATGCTGACGGACTGAGTCAAGCCAGGTTTTGAGCTGACCCCCCTCTTCGACGTCTGCAACTGAGTAAGGGTGTAGGACCGAGGGCCGTCACACTAGGTCCGTGGGATTGACAACAAAGAATGT